AAAGTAAAGTAAGTATGCAAGCAAGCAAGCAATGAGTGATAGTGATAGTGATAGTGATAGTGACCATGACTTTATTGATGAATGGGATGAAGAAGATGAAGAAGATGAAGAAGATGAGACTGACTCAGAAGAAGAAGCTGTTACTGATCTTGATGAAGGAGCTGTTACTGATATTGAAATAGAAGCTGAAGCTATTAATGATGAACGGTATGAAAAGTATTTGGATGTACTATTACAAAGCAAGAACCCTGGAAAGGGACCAACCCTGAACAAGGCTGAGAACGTGACAGCTGAACAGTTTGAGCTTAAGCTACGGTCCATCGTCTACTGCAGGAAAAAGAACACATTGAGAACTTATAGAAGGGTGATGACAGCCTTTCAAAGAATGTACGGCAGCTCTCCAGAGAATTGTAATGCTGATAATATCTATGAGTTTTTGAGAAAGACGCAAGAGGAAAGCGAGTAGGTGAAATCCATAGATACTTACAAAAAAAGATTAGGAATGCGTTGACCTACCTCCACGAGACTATGCAGGGTGAAAAGCCTGATGATGGGAATATCAGAGCGTTTCTGGATCTTGCAGCATTCGGTTACAGCATTCGATTACAGCACGTACAGGCGAGAAACCGCTAAGGAAATGTTCAAGCTATCGTCATCCAGTCGGTACACAATGGAGGAGTTTGACAAAATGGTGGAGGAGTGCTGGAATATGGGATGTGCTCAAGAGGCAGAAGAGAATGGAGTTGTGGTATTTGGATTGAAGAGACGAAAATATTTGAAGAGAGACTTTACAACTGCATACAAGCAGCAAAAGGTTAAGAAAAGAAGATTCGTCAAGTACCTACTTTCAGCGTTGCTGGACCATCGAACGATCTGTGTCCAAGATCAACCTCAAGCTAGAGGATTTCTCACCGTACGAGCCAAATACTGCAAGTATTACAGCAACTTTTGCCACTACTCCAAAAGGATTAACGTTTACAAGAACATACGAATAGGTCAATAGACAAGGAGAGCTTAGGAAGTCTGCAATGAACAAGGCTCACAACCACCTCAAAATGAGACTACATGAAGATTTCATCAAGGATGCTTTGCAGGCCAAAGGCATTATTTGTGATTATTCACTACTAAAAGTTACTGAGCATCACAGGCTGATCTATCAACACAAATATGGAATTCCAACAATATAGGCACAAGCCATGATGACAAAAGAAATTATTGCAAAGAAGCATGTGACAGTGAGATATCATCTATGAACAAATTAAAAGTATTTGAAATTGTGGATAGAAGTTTATCACCAGAGGATGAACTAATTGTTGAAGGACGTAGGGTATTCGACGTTAAACAAGTAGGAGCTACTGAAAGATTCAAAGCCAGATTAGTTGCGAAAGGCTACACACAGGAAGTTGGCGTTGATTATATTGACAAAGATACCCCTGGTATGGCATTTGATACATTATGACTGGTAATATCAAAAATATCTGTTATTAATGACTGGGAAATCGGTAAGTTCGAAGCAAAGAATGCTTTCAATTGACTATCCAATTTGTTTTAAACCCCCTGTAAGCAACTGCAAGCAAAACCAATGCTAGAAACTCGAGAAAGGTTCCCGTTTTTATGTTCACGCAATACTCTGTTTTTAAATAAACATTAGATTTCAATAGATTAGTATAGTATATATATGTTAAATGGTAACTAAACACTATCTGTGATCAAATGACGTACTAAATAAACATTGTTTCATTGCGTATAATGTGAGTGTTTATACTTCTAATCTACCATTTTTTAGATGTCCATTAAAAGCACAAGTGACCATTAGTTCATATTTCAACAAGACAACTTGGTATTTCACTATTTATACGGGTGAAAAAGGGGAAAATAAGAAGCTGGTTCAACGAGAAACGACAGTCAAATTGTCGTGAAATTACATAACGACTTACATAACAAAATTAACGTTAAAATAAAGTGTGGCTTTTTTGATTTTGAAATATTATTATCTAATCATGAGAGCTTTTAACTGGGGGGTTGGGTTGGTCCATTTTTCAGCTGTCGCTGCCATAAGAGTCTCTCCAAGTATAAGTTGTTCACTCTAATTAGTGACAGGGCCTTTTGTTCGCATAAGAGTTGGTTAGAAATGTCTGGAAGATATATATACACCAAATCTCTACTGAATTGCCGTTTGATGGGGCTGGTTAATAGGCATATATAAATGCGGCTTGAAGACTTTTAATAAAGACACGGTTTTACTAGCACTCACAAAAAAATGTAAATTACGTCAGCGGCAAAAGACCGCATGTTGCCTATTTTGTATGATTAGCCAGCCAACCAGCCAGCCAGCCAGCCAGCCAACTGAGCTGCACGCCTGGTAATTTGTAAACGACGCGTCTCTTTGAATTGTTATTTTGTGAACCAGACGTGTTTGTGACAGAATAATAATGTTGCGTGCATGAATTGAATTAGAGGGAGTGTTCTTAACTAATACAGACAGATACATCTAATGTGCCGTTGCCATCCGGTGTGAAATTAGCTACAAACCACACTAGTGTATTTTATTTATGATTAAGTAAGCATTGATTAATGTAGGAAGTAAATTGGGAAAGATAACAAGAGATGAAAATGGGAGTTGGAGTTGGAGTTGGAGTGAGAGTGGGAGTGAAGTTACTTTCCAAGTGTAAGATGAAGGGGGAGGTATATATAGTGAAAAAGTTGTGTGTTGTGTTGCTAATACCATGTTTATAGATAACTAATAACAAGTTTTATGCAGATTGCCATTCCGTAACACCGACGCTTTGAGATGCTTACATTATCTAGTTTCATTAATAATAGCCAATAAGATATGGGCAAGCAATAAAGAAATAAAGGGAGGAAGGAAACAATTGAGCGAGTGAGTGAGTTAGTGAGGAAGAGGAGCGGGGGTAAGGGAGGAGGGAAGTAAAATTTATAAACTTGCCATTTCTATTACGTAAACTAATATATATGTACATACATACATTCAATGTATGAAAGTGTGGGTGGGTTTCTGTTCTATTTGCAAATTACGGGTGATTGCAATTGGCCATGAATGAATGAATGAATGAATGAATGAATGAACTATAATGAAGAGGTGATTTCAAATGATATGGAAAACCATCCAGAAACGCGATCTCGGAATGGGAAGTTGTGGATCCAGTTCAACATGTTGTGGCTGTGGGAGCATCCAAGAGTTGGAATCTATCGGGACTTCATGGATTCCAGACATCAATCTAGAGAATTAATGAGTATATACTTTGCACACTTAACTTGAGCTACAATTTGAGTAATAATAAGTAATAAGTAATAAATAATAAACAGTTTATATCGAACTATAAACATCGATCGAATCAGAGTAGTGAAGCGAAAAAGCCACTACTTAACTGATTTTCTTTTTTGGTTTCTTTTCAGTGATTAATTATCAATCACAAGACAGTAAAAAAGCAAACTAATATAAGAGCAAAAAAAGTATATGTAAATGAACAGAATGTAAGTGAGTTAGTTAACACACTCTTTTTAATGTAATGGGGGAAATGAGGAATAGTTTTTCTTTTCAACTAACCTATGTTGTATGACAATTTTTCATGTACTTTTAATTTTGATTCATGTTTTTTTTTTTTCGTTTTCGTTTTCGTGTTCGTTTTCGGTTTCATTATTTTTCATTTTGATTTTCGTTTTCCTTCCCAAGTAATAACTGTATTTTTCAGTTCATTTAATAATATAATACAAAACGCCAGATGTAATATTACTGAATAGATTCAATTCATATCATAATCATCTTCGTCATCAAATTCATCTTCATCATCATAATATCCATATCTACAAACATTGGCTCCACCTCCATCATAGTAAGAATTAGCAACAGGTGCAGTTGTAGAAGACGTACTTGTACTTGTAGTTGTAGTATTTGTTGAAGTTTCTTGATCAAACCCATTATCAGTTAAATGTAATTTATAACCATCTATACCATGAGTCAAATTTTTAATATCAAAAGTTGAATTTTTTTCAATTGTTCTATTCATAACATTATTACAACCCATCCATGTTCTAATATTACCAATTGGAGTTGATTGAATATATCCTCCATCTGGATGATGGAATTTTGCATATTCACTTAGATTGATATTTTCTAAAGTGAGTTGTTCAGTAGGTATTGATTGTCCATCAAAATCTGTTGAATTGACAGGTTTGATTTTTTTCCAATCATGTTCTGAATCTGAATTTCTTCTCTTTGATCTTGATGGAGTTGAAGCAGCACTTGCATTCATCAATCTTTGTTGATGATTTGGAGATTGTTGAAATGGAGATGAATGTTGTGGAGAAGATTTTGGTTGACAATAATTGACTTGTATATGAGATAGCATTGATGGAGACATCATTTCAGATGCTGCTGGATTATTTTGATAGTACATTATGGAAACAATTGATTATAGTTTTTCAGTATATATTAAAGGCACACGCGTAAATTTAGTTGAACAAGTTGATAATAGATAACTGAGTAGCGAAAGTGGAAAGTGGAAAGGGGAAAAATGAGGAATGGGATTGAGTGAGTGAGTGAGTGTATGTGTGTATGTGTTTAAGTGTAACTGTAAAAAAGTTGGTATCTATGTTG